TGATCTGATGACCACATGGCTGGCTGGATGGCCTCTGGATTATCAAGGCGAAGCCGTACTTGCAGGGTGGACTTGCGTTGTGTGCTTTGCAGTGTGCTGCACAAAAAAAATATTAAATGAAAATTTTGGCTCTAGATTCAAGAAATAAGACCTTTTGGATGCTCTCCTGGCGAAAAGCTGCTTTGTTTTTCTACAAAATAAGAAATCTGGATGTTGTCCCGGGGAAAAGCTGCTTTGTTTTCTATAAAATAACTTAAATAAGACATTTGGAAGTTGTCTTGGTGAAAAACTGCTTTGTTTTGTGTAGCTCTTTGAAGTGTAAGACAGGTCCCGTGACTCTCATGTGACACCGTCTCTCAGGAACCCGGAAACCGCTTGTGCCTAGGGCTTTGCTTTTTTAACACACGTGCGCAACAGGCATAGCCAAGTTGGTTGTGAGGGCCCAGGGAGACGCCACCGCGAGTGCCGTGCGTGGGAGTGTTTTTTGGGGCAGTTATGCTCACGTGCTGCGCCATGGATTTTTTCGTCTGGAGGCTGGGGGGCAGGAGATGTACACTTGGTGAAATACGCACACATGTGTGCACACACGTTCTTCTCGGAGATTGAGAGAGAGAGAGAGAGAGGGAGAGAGAGAGAAACTTGCATGGCAGCACACCCAACCTACAGTCTTGCACTCAGCCCACATACTATTGCAGCCGGCTCACATGATATGTACTGCACGTGGGCAGCCCACATAGTATGCCCAACTTGGGGCGCACACTGCCACACCCAACCTAACAAAACAGGGCCTTATAGTCCTGGCTCCATATCCATTCTGGGCAGCAACAAAACTGTTCTTCTTTTTTTTTTTTTTTTTTTTTTTCAACGAAACAGTTCGGTCCCTCTTCCTCTGGCACACGTGGTTAACCGGGGCTGATTTTTTTACCGAATTTTGCACTGAAACAGTGAAACTTTCATATTGCCCTGATTTTTCACTTTTTTTCTTTATTTTCTTTTTTGTGTGTTATGTTGCTGCTTTAGGGTACGTCATGCGTTCAGTTTTAACATGTTTAAAATCTTTGGATCATTAATGAAAAAGTTGGCATTTCGTTGCTTCATTTTAACTCGGAGAGTGTTTTTTGTGTTAGGGTTTTATACTAAATTATAGTGTTTTGTGTTTTTTTTTCGTTTTCTTTCTTTGGCCTTTTTTTTTTTTTTTTAATGCTTGTATTATGGGCCCATTATCCGCGCATATATATATAGTTTGTTTTTGAATTTTGCCCTGAAACTGTCGGCCAAAACAGCGAATTTTCGGCTCTCTGTTAACATTGTGTCAGAATACAACAAGATACGCACACCCCCTTCCTTCCGTCCGCCCAAGGGGCTCCTGAACAGCATTCATTTCTCCATTAAATCCCTTTTCATGGAGGATTGACTGCGAGCTGCGAGCTTTCCTCTCTCTTAGAAATCCTTTCATCTTCAGTATATAATATATATGCCATAGCTGTGAGTTCCAGTTGAAAACAATCAAGACTTCTAGAAAGAGGAGTGGACCACCAACACCGTCGTCGAATGGTACCAAATCAGGCCCAATGAACTCCTCTGTCTTCTTGTGTCGTTGTTGATCCATGACGGAATGCCAGCGGCTGTTTAGAGGTGGCCATCCCGACCAAAGAACCAGAAAAGATGTTGAAATAAAACAGGATCTCCTTTAATTGTATGTTAGTATATGCTTCTCTACATATTTAATCTGTCTGCAATGACTCTGCATGTCTGTGGCCCCTCATGTTGCATGCATGCTCAGGGATTTTCATGTGGCCCCTCATTTCGTTGTTGATCCATGACAGAATGCCAAACTGGAAGGTGGCATTACCATCATCATGCGTCGGGTTTGTAACACATTGGGATGATGGGGTTGGCGTCTTGGTTTAGTCCATAGCAGATCTGCCTATTGTTGGCCCTGGACGGCCAAGTTGCAGGATTTGAAGACAAAATAAAAATCGAGACGAGGCGTGGAGGGGAAGTGTTCCAGTATCGAGTACCGTAGAATTGAACATTTTGGCATGTCCACCGTGTTCGTGAAGCGCAGAGTTCTGATTGCTTATTACTGTTGTCATTCCCTTGTCATCGCCAGGTATTTGACGGTTCAGTTTGTCCGATTTTTCTGGAAACGAGAGGCGCAGCAGAAAGCCAAAATCCTCAAGGTATGATTCCTTAGTGACACGATTTTAAGCCCGGATGTACGAGCAGCTCTGCACTTTTCTGTGTGTTTTTATCTTCTTTTTTTTTCCCGCCACTATATTCAAGTCGATTGAGGTACATGGGCATGATCTCGAAGTTTAACTGTTTTACTGGCACGCTGCATGCCGTCACGGACCTGAGGTTCTTACGCTGGCATGTTGGAGTTTAGTTTAGTTTCCACATGATGAAGTAAAAGAGCAGAGAGTGAAGGCTGTGCAGGGTGATATTATCAGTATGCCCTCACAGGAGTGTGTGTTCTGTGTGTGAGCTTGCCCCTGAAAAAGGTCTGTCACACTTGCAGCCGATGAGTCTTTTTTACGAAATAAGTCCGAGATACTCAAATGGATGTGTTTTCTTGGGTCACCTGCTCTCTCTCTCTGTTTTTGTTTCTAACGTGTGAGTTGTGCTCCTTTACTCTCGCAGACTGTTTGAATTGGGCTGCCAGACTGCACATCTAGATTCTATGCCTGCCGTTTTCTACCCAAAAGTGCTGGTTTTGGTGTCTCCCTGCCTCCCTCCCTCTCTGCTCACTGTGTATGTGGGTATGTGTGTGTGGTACCTATACGTGTGTCTTGTATCTTCGCCATTGTTGCGTGTATATGTGGTGCAGAAAGTGACCTGGCCGATGGTTTTGGACCTCTCTGATTTCTGCACCGACGAGCTCCAAGAGACCTTGAAGCCGCTGCAAAAGGTCAGGATCGATCTCTGTGCATGTTATTCATTGCTTGGCCAGATGCATTCTTTTCTGCTCCATTCATTACGCTGCATATGCTATATGCAGATAGGTTGAATTTGGGTCCCAACTGCGAAAGCTGCCATGTTCTTCCATGCCAGTTGATGTCAGTGACAATTCTGTGCACGACGACACTCTGCTTGTCAAGTTCTGAAAGCAAAATGGACTCAGATGCATCTGATGCTCAGAGGAAGAACAACAAGAGGAAGTCGAAGTAGAAGAGGGGATGAGAATGAAGAACACGAAGAAGACGAAAATGAGGGACAAGAAAAAAACAAGGCTAACGTCAACAAGAAAGATGCGAACTGCGAATGCTTTTGCACAGCGCTCTCCTCTATTTTGGTCTCTTTGTTCCAGCTGCTGATTGCATGCGGGCGGACTGAGTTGTCAAGTGGTGATACCAACCCAGCAATGTTTAGAAGGAAGGTAGAAGACTTCAACCACGGAAATGAAATGACTGAATGACTACAAGCTGTAGCTAGCTAATATACCCAAGGCATCAGAGGTGCACCTTCTACAAAAAAGGATATCGAAACCACCAAGCACCCCAACTTACTTAGCTCATGATAAGCCCGCCAACTTCCCAGAAGCAGTATTTCCTCCAATTGTTCAATCGGCTATTTGTGATGTCGACGTTGACATCCTTCTTTCACAATTGTGGTTGATCATATAAGTCGGTTGGTGGAGGCAGCTTGCGATTAGTTTTTCGGACTCTTTCCCATGGAAAGGAACTTTTCCTAGAATATCGACCGCCGGTGCTGGACATGTGGTCGTAATGCAGCGAGAGAACCGTGTTTGGTCTCCTTGTTGAGGGGTTGGATAGAAGAAGCGCATTTGGTCCCTTTATCGAGCAAACTCATAGGTTTAGGGAAAGAAAGGTGTATCACTTGTTGTTCTGAATTCTAATGGTATTGCCATTGTTTTCTGAATTTATTTCTAATTTTTTTTTAAAAATTCTATAAGCAGGCAATGAAACAGGAAGCCGATGAAAAGGCAGCTAAGAAGGAAGAAGTTGGAGGAGGCAGTAAGGACAAGGGTGTACCAAAAGGCGATGACGAAAAGACAGATGATTTGCCGGAGCATACTGCAGAGGGTGCTGGTGCCAGAGATACTGTTATGACAGAAAATCAGGTGTGTGGCACTGTGTGAAACTATACCTGGGAGGGGAACATCGAGCATCGAATGCGAGATGTACTGCTCTCTGTGATTGTTGGTTTGTTTGTGTAAACAGGTCAGCGGTCGTCGGCATCCTGCAAAAAAAAAAAAAAAAAAAAAAAAAAACAATAACCCCCCCTGTCCCGGCCCCCCCCCAAAAAAACCACCAAATCCCCAAATGTTTCTCAGCGGATTTGGGCTGTACTCAGCAAGCTCGGTACAGCCCCTCGGTCAGATGTAAACAAAAATAAAATCAGTGGATCGCTGTTTACTGACTGGTCGGCAGACCGCCGACCGGTCGGCCCTGCCGGTAGGCTGTTTTGTCGATAGTAGGAGTGGGAGGTCGGCGGGTATGCAACCCTGTTTGCATTGCCATTAAAAAAAAAAAAAAAATGTATATTTTAAATTATTTTTCTGATTGGATCTGGGGTAAATACTAAATATACAGGAGGGGAATGCTCCACTGCATGCATGTACCCTACCTGGCACCAAGTTTACAGATGGAGAGAGAGAGAGAGAGAGAGAGAGAGAGAGAGAGAGAGAGAGATTTGTCGAGTCTTTGTCTTTTGGAACTCTTTCCCGTTTTTTCTTTTTGGCTTTCAGTTTGCCTTTCGCCATTGTGATAACAAGCGAGTAAGTTTTTCAGGGCGAATTTATTAAGGACTAATTTCTCAATTTTCTGCACCACAGACTTGCTGGGGTGCAGCAGGACCTCGGCATGGAAAACTGGTACTGATTCTACTGAAACGTTTTATGTGGGAACAGATCCAAACTGTTGGTGGCAAAGGCTGAAGCCTGACTGGCAGTTTGAAGTGTCTTTCGTGGGCCTTTTGTCGAGTGTGCAATGTTTCTCTGTTTTGATTTTGGAATGGTTCTAGACTTCTAGTGTATCTGTGGTTGCTTTATATTAGAAACATTTTGAAATCAGATTTCCAGGCCCGAGTATGAAATGTTCTGACTCTCAAATGCTTAAATCGTGATTGCGTCTCTTGTTACTGCAGCCATCAGAAGGGGGTTCAAGTGATGGCGACCGAGGAGGTGAGAGCACACTCGTGCTTTGTAACTGAGCCTATCCCTATCCCTATTGATCAGGGTGATTGAGCTCTGTAGATTTATCCGAACCATGCACAGAGCAAGGGCTACCGTCTTCCCCCGAACAGAACGCATATGTGTTGTATATTCAAATACAACGCATACGTGTTCTGTTCGAACGGCTCGTGTATTCAAATACGACACACGTGCGTTCTATTTGACTCGTCGATTTTTTCCCCAAAAAACTCGAATACAATGCATATGCCTAACGTTCGGGCGAAGACGGTAGCAACAATTTTCCATGCCGGCATGTCGATGTATACATCATGGAGTCAAGGTCTGTGTTGGTGG